AAAGCACAAGAACCTATAATCCAAAACACATCGGCACAGGTGAAATAATCTATACAGCGGAAGTCAAGTGACCATCTTGCAATTGTAATAGAGAATTAGCAATTCACAGCTTGTAACAGGAATAATTGTAATACAATACAATATATTTTCGACCTTAACACCATTATAATAAAGATAAATTACAAGCAAATATAATTTTATGACATAGACATTCCCACGAACAATTTCAAGGAAGTTCGAAATTTGAAAATTGTAAAGGGTTGCCATCTGGTAAACAGATGCATTTCCATTGTATCTGTGTAAAATTATTACAGGTAAAAAAAAACTATTGTTTACGGAAATTAGGACTGTGGGAATTTTTAACACATTTTTGTACTGACCTAGGCTGCACAGACCTTAATGGATTATCGACTTATGACTCAGAATCTGATTCATAGAAAAAAATTCTAAGTCTAAGCCTTGACTCCTAGAGATATTATTTTTTTATCGTACGTGAGAATTGTGCAGTCAAGCTATTTTACTAACGACCTCATAAAAGAGAAAGTATCATATGGATCACGACGTATTGTCTATGACTATGCATAACGAAAAGGCCATAAATATATTGGTCGTACCTGTTATTACGCACAGATTATAATCTTAGACATCTTACAATTTAACGCAATAGGTGAAAGGACGAGCGAGAGACATTGGATACAATACATTGCGTGGTATATGTTTTTTATTTATTTACACACTAAGAAATGTTAATGCATACAGTCTAAACATACTATAAATCCAAAGCGACGCTTGTAAAATGACAAATTGTTTTGTCTCTTTCTATCGGAGCATAAACAAGATATCACAGAAAGAGACAAACCATTATACAAGAATATGTCTTCAGTCTTATTGTTTTTTTATTATTAAGTATGTAAAAAACCGATTACATATGTATTTAAAAATATTTGAAATACAATTATTAAACATTACTTATTAAATCGTACACGCTCTACGCAATGTATTCACAACTGTCTTGTGTTCGTAAATCGTAAGGTCAAGAGGTCGTGGGATGGGCTAAGCCTCAACTCGCTTACGTAAGTATTGAAATTGGTATCAAAGGTTTCAAGGAAGTGTCTTCAATACCAGGATAACAGAAATGTACAGCATTTCCAATGCAAATTATTTCTTTAGTATTTAGCTAACAAAAACACTACACAAAATTTATGGCAATAATTATTTCACGATTTGTAAACATTACGAAATTCGTTGACATTGTCAATTTAAATTGGCAACACTGAAGATTCGGTGTGCGTTCGAAATTCGAATGGAAGCGGTCGCATTCCGCGTCGGTTCTCACGATCATTAGTTCCCGAACGTTTCAAATTCCGAATGCGTGATCTACAGATTTGCTGTCGTAAGAACTCTTTTAAAAAATTAGGTTTAAGTGTCCAGTAGTTAAGGAAAATAAGCGAAAAATATCAATCGGAATTCGTTTTGAGCAAAATAAAATTAATGTTTCCTTATGTATCTTTGTCGAATTAACAAAGCAATTCTTATAACGGTCAAATCCAGATACATCTGTTCTAACAAAACTTAAACGAGATGCAAGATATAAAACATCTTATGTAAAAAAGAGTCAGCGATATCAAGATGTTGAAACATTCAGGACATCTGCAGGATTAGTTTTGACATTTTAGTACATAGTAAAATGCACCTTATACCAAGGTAATCAAGACCAATCTTAAACGAAGATTGCTCATAGCAAGCTGCGTCTATGTACCTGAAAGGGACATAAGATATACCCGTACGTACATAAGAAAGGGACACAAAGAAACAGCTGACTGTACTTTTTCATAAACCTTTGAAAACCACACCTTGCCTATTTCACCTTTACGAATTTAATGCACGACGGAAACATAAAAAAATAATGTTTTATATAGCGTCGTGTTGTCTCTTTCTCGCTGTTAATGTTGAAACGAGACAGCAAGCGCGAAATATTTGTATTGAAATGATACTTCTTATTTAACTAATTTATTTAATAAGTTAATTTAACAGGAAACTAGAACGTCAAACTTAAATCTAGTAATCAAACACCCCCGAAACGGCTTGACCGATATATCTGAAATTCTTTATGTATATTCGTAAGTGATAAAGGGAGAGAAAAAATATATAAAAGTATGTAATTTAATACATACGGGCGTAATCTCTTTCGCACTTATAGTACTCTAAACAGCTGTTTGATAACTGTACCCGAGATGCGCCTACGCACGTCTTAGGGCTGGCACAACATAATAAATAAGTAAAACTAATTTTTATAAATTTAAGTATAAATAAAACCGAAAGAAAAGAACCGCAAATTTCTTAATTATTAAAATAAGCAATAAAAAGGAAGACTTTTCTATAAACAAATTATAAAAATAAAAAAAATCAGTGGCGCTACAACCTCTTTAGGTCTTGGCCTCAGATTTCTGAATCTGTTTCATGATCATTTTTTAAATCGAATAGGCAAGTAGGTGATCAGCCTCCAGTGCCTGACACACGCCGTCGACTTTTTGGGTCTAAGAAATGTCGGTTTCCTCACGATGTTTTCCTTTACCGTTCGAGCAAATGTTAAATGCGCACATAGAAAGAAAGTCCATTGGTATGAACCTACGACCTCGGGTATGAGAGTCGCACGCTGAAGCCACTAGGCCAACACTGCTCGTTGTAAAAACAAAGACAAAGATAAAAATTAACAATTTATATTTGGCTACTTTTAAAATTAATCATTAAATTAAAATATACATACATAAAAATACTTAACGACAATAATTGTTTCAATTCTCACCAGCAGATTCATTAAACTATTGTACGCATGACAGCCCTACCGTCAGCTGCTTCTTATTGTATCCTTCTTATTATCAAACAGCTGTTTAGTTTTTCTACGACCTTTTAAGGCCATTGAATACCGTTTAAAAAAAAATATCCGAACATTAAAGGTAGGGTAGTTGCAAAAATTAAACCTAAAATTGTGTTTTTAAAAGAATTTGACCGGATGTTAGATGATTTTTAAAAATAGAACAATGGCGATCCTAAAGTAATACCGGTCACTCAATGCTAAAGCACTCGCAAGTGCGTTGCCGGCCGTTAACTCCGCAATAAAGCAATAGTTCCGACAGTGTATTCCAAATTCACACCAGATGATTCCACGTGACATCTGGCGTGTTCCGGTTTTCACCTAATTTCCGGTCCCCAACATCTGGTTTCATTCGTGAACGCATTGTCTTCGCCAAATGTTCGAGTTCCAACAAAGGGCAATGCAAAAACAATAGATTAGGAACAAATATTTAATTTTTTGCAGGTTTTTTTAACAGGGGGCAAACGGGCAGGAGGCTCATCTGATGTCCATAGACAATGCGAGGGCTAGCGAGTGTTGCCAGCATAACTTTAACACTAATTAAATTTATGCTCATTGAAATTATATACCTCGAGGTATTTATCTATATACTAGCGACCCGCCCCGGCTTCGCACGGATGCAATGCTGATACTAAATTCAAAGTGCAATAGAGTATAGGCAAAACCGCGGCCTCAGAAACGCTGCGTCCCGCAATTTTTAACTTTGTAATATCTTCGAAAATATTCATTTAAATCATATGCTGTAAAGGGCCATATATATTAAATCAACAATGTATTGCAGGTATTTAATTGGATAAGGATTAATGCATTATTGGTTAAAATCGCTTCGAAAATTAGCCATTATTTTTCGTAAAAAGTAAATGACAAAAATTTTTTTTTGTGAGATATTCATAAGAGATAGACGTATACCATCGCGGAGTTTTCTGTAGACCTTTTTGATGTGTACAATACTAAGTACATTATTTTGATAAATCTCGTAGGGTTCGCAATGTAAGCGGAAAAAATATATTTATTTACGATTTACGACATCACATTATAAACCTCAAAATAACAGTATTTCTCCATCCATATTTAATGGATGTTATTATACATAAATCTATTTAAAAAAACACATCAAATCCGTTGCGTAGTTTTAAAGATTTAAGCATACATAGGGACAGAGAAAGCGACTTTGTTTTATATTATGTAGTGAAATAAAAAATGTATCGCAAAATATGTTAATACGCAAAACCCGACGGCTGGACTAATTCTGGAAGGATTTTATGTATAAATTGAACGGAAAAACTTACATAACCGTTTTCTTTATCTGTCATTGTAAACGAAACGTCTCCATGGGGAAACATAGTTCCATATGGTATGTACTAAAAAGGTAGGCTAAATTAATATAAAGGCGAAACGACGGGCAGCTAATTTCAAATACAATTATCCAACCACCATTGCAAGGTGCACGTAACAGCTGCTGAAGCAGATGTAGAAAACTATGATCTTAATTGGTATAAACTAGATATTACAATCTACCCTAACAAATGGAAAATGTCTGCAAGACCTTTCCCATGTGGCACTTCCCTTCCTCTAAAGAATTACATTTATATGAGCAATTCTTAATCGCCTTCAAAAAAATCCATTTAAAAATCCCGTCTATTACTCTTCTCAAAAATACCTACTTCGTTTGAATAAGTACACAAGTACACTCAACACCCCTTGGTGTAAAGTCAAAAAGAATTTAAACTATTGTCAACTATAGTGGCTTTATAAGGGCTAATTATATAATTTTAATTTTAAAAACCATAGACTCAATAGTTAGTCAAGTTTTCACGTCGCCCTTGTGTTAATAAATTGAAACCTTTTTTTAAGTCATATTCAAATTAACGGACAATTTAATAATACATAGGAATTACCGATTTTTTTAATTTCTATAAAATTCACAAAATTTTATCCGTAACTGTAAGATTAGATAGCCGTTTAACGGTTTTTACGCGTCCCTGTTTCCTGCTATTCCGATAATATTAAAACCTAAACTCTACATAACCTCAACGACTGTATTTTGAGTTATTTTTTTTCAAATAGTGAATATTTTGTTAAATACAAATGTCTGAGGTTAAACATGTCAACATACACGACTTACCGAGTCCGATTTTCTTCTTAATCTTCTTCAAAACTTTCATTTTCGATCCCTTTTTGTCTTTAACCGGGGTTACTTCGGGTTCCAACGCCATCGGAGGCAACACCAACGTCTGCGGCGGCATCGCCCCATGCCCCGAAGCCCTAGGGCAAGCGGGACAGTGGCAGGCGCCCCTGGCTTGCCGCACACTCATACAACTGCTTACACCCATCATTTATACGGCTTTTTATTATTAGAAACAAATTTTCATATCAAAACACTTTCACAGTCACGATATATTTTTTTCACTGTCACGAAGTCACTTGAACGAAGAACGCGAGTGACGTCCGCACGCAACGAGCCCTACCGGCGGAGTGACGTGAACGGCGAACGCGACGCGCACCAAAGCAGCAACAACTGCGTTTCAACGCGGTTACATTTAAAAATCAACCTTATTACATGGAATTTAATTACAAAATTAATTGAACGCAAATATTTTTAAATGTCAGCAGCTGCGCACAACAGCCCCACAGCATCTGTCCCTTTTATTTCAATAATGAAAGAGCGAGAATTCTTAACGTAGGGTGGATTTCAGGACCATTGTCTTCATGGGGAAAGGTGCGTAATTTTCGCGAAGCAAATTAAGTTTTTTTTCATTTAATGCAAAAGGTGCAGGGCTTAATGTAAAGGTTAGCTATTTCCATCTTTTACGTTTTATGTTAGAATATATTATCAAAGAAAGTGTATCTTCTACGCGAGCCATAGGAGCTACAAACATATTTCCTAACATTTTATCCTGATCAGAAATCTCTTATTTTTAATGAGAAGTGTTGGCCTAATGGCTTAAGTGCGGCCTTCAAACCTGCGGTCGGGCGTTCGAATCAGAACAGAAGCCTGATCACAATATTTGCGTATTAAAAAAAACACATTAGGTTATAGATACAGAAATCTGAAACCTAGAAGATTTAAGCGGCACTTTTTTTTTAAATAATTACAGACTAAATGTATTACTAAATAGATGAAAATTATTTTATATTCAATTAAAAATTTCTAGGAAATTTAGTATAAGTAGTACGAGTTTTTTTCAGCTTTTCGTGTGACGACACACTTTAAAACGCGCTAACGAAATATTTCCAGCTGAGCATATATTATACTTGTCATTTTGGATCTTGCTTAAAGACACACTGGTGCCATAGTTCGCTGTACACACTGGAACCTTCGGACCCGTCACTTGTTAGACTGATCAAAGTTCCTTCTTGGAGGAAGAGCAGCTTCCTCCACAAAATAATATACTATAAGCCATGAAATTTCATATCTCTTCTCCCGACTTCTTTATGAGACGGGAGGCCAACAAGCGGGCACTTGAAAGTGATAACTGCTAGCGGCTCGCGGGTGTGTTACCGACCTTTCACGGTATTTATATAAACTTTGAAACTGTCAAGATGGCCAGTTAAAGAAATGCGTTATGTATTATATATGTTTTAACTTACCTATTGATAGTAATAAAATTAAAAATTATTATTGTAATTGGTTAAATTTGGTCGTAATTGGAAGAAATAATCGTAATTAAACGTAAATTAATCAATAACGATTATTTAAATTATCCTAATACTTTGATTGATTTGCTCAAGTTAAAACAATTTGTATGACAATACTTGGCGATTAAAAAGAATGGCGTAAAGTTTCTTGCCAGTTCTTCTTACCTCTTCTACTTGACTTGCGAACTGGTAGTAAATGTAAATTTACAATTAATTTAACTTCTTTCTGACGTTCATAAGTGTACTTGTTTACCTACATGAATAAAATTTGAGTTTGATCTATCACTTTTGTTGTGAACGTCTTATTCTTTCGCTATTAATTTTATGATTTTTCTTTCTTCTTACGTCAAAAACGTATTGTATTTGACACATTATCCGCGCTTCGACTTAAATCGTACCATCCCTTTGTGTCCGTGCTGAGTCATCTCTTAATTTAACCTTATTCTGGCTTTGTTTACTACGGCGATATTGACTGGTTCCAAGGCTACTTCATGTGGGGTCACAGTAAAAATTTACCAAAAACAACGAAGTATTTTCAAATGTTTTTGACGTGAAACTTCTTTAGGCGCATGAGTGTAAATTTTTTAGAAAACGTCACGAAAATGTGCAGCGTTTTTGTCTAAGAAAAGGGAGAGAGCGATTGAGAGAGAGTGAGAAGGGCGAATTACCTAATAGGAATTCTATTTTGAATATTAAAATTTCATTTTTCAATTTTATGCAAAATAATTTATTGAATAAATAAATTATAAAAAATAAATTGTATTAATTTTCGACACTAAATATTTTTATGACAATTAAATTCCTAATATATAACATATCTTCCTTTTTCCCTCCCTTTAAGTCTCGGAAATCTAAAGTTTTAGATTTGTATAAATATGAACAAGACTTAAAAATTAGTTTGCCAAAGAAGTTTCACTTCTGACATGTGTACTTTGTACGCACGCACTTTTTTTAGTTGGCCTAGTGGCGTCAGCGTGTGACTCTCATCCCTGAGGTTCGAACCCCGGCTGTGCACCAATGGACTGTCTATGCGCATTTAACATCTGCTATCAACAATTAACCGAGGGAGGAAGAATGAAAGAATGGAAGGTCTCAGTTTTATACTGGAGATGTCTGATATTTTTGAAGTTATACTTCTTTTGGCGCGTGAAATGAAGATAATAATTTTTTGCAATGCGCGCGCACACCGTCACAAATAACCGATACCCTGAAGTTAGCATAGTAAACATTTTTAAATAAAAAATGTCCATTTCTTTAGTATGTAGAAATATTTTTTTTTGTAATCTAATATATAAAATTCTCGTGTCACAGTTTTCGTTGCCATACTCCTCCAAAACGGCTCGACCGATTCTCATGAAATTTTGTGTGCATATTGGGTATGTCTGAGAATCGGACAACATCTATTTTTCATCCCCCTAAATGTTAAGGGTAGTCCACCCCTAAATTTTTTTTTTTTAGATATTTTTTTCTGTTTTTAATTTTTTATGATACAGCATTAAAAATACATACAAACCCCTAACTTTCACCCCTCTACGATCAACCCCTATTTTTTTTTATTATAAATGATATATATGGCAAAACGACGTTTGCCCGGTCAGCTAGTATTTAAATAAACTTTATTTAAGATAATGCGTTATAGTAAAACTTTCAATGATAACACCTTTTTTCTATTGTTAGTGTAGTTTTTTCTACAAAGGTAGAATAACATTTTTATCTTGTTACGCCAAAGAAGTATAACTTCTAACGCGCGTACATAAGTACCTACACATAATTGATTTTTGTATGAGTACTATACGATTGCTGTACATTAACCGCCCATTAGGTTTATCAACTAATAAACTAATTATTATTCTCCTCCAAATTGCTATCAACTTTCTTCGACAGGAACTCCCTTAATAGTCTAATTAACAGGATTAACCCTAATCACCACTAATTGCCAAGGCTTGCATGAATCATACCATTGTTGACCTGTTTAATGTGTGTTTGTCTACAAATTTCGCTTAAATATCATTACCAACATTAGGGAAATTGATAAAAATCGTTTTAATAGTTTAATACTTGTACTGGGGACACTTTTATCCGTAATCATAAAAGGTATTTGAATATTATTAATATTCAACACAACCAGTGGGTACAAGGTTTTAGATCTGGGCCTCATAGGTAAGGTCAGCGTTGCCAGACGTCCCGATTTTTAAATCAAAATGAAAAGTCTGGGACAGCCTTAGTCCCGTTTTTCGGGAACAACTCGATGGCACTGACAAGTGTGTACTACCACCACCGCAAGTAAGTTGCAAGTCGCTATCTAATATGTATATAAAATTCTCGTGTCGCGGTTTTTGTAGTTAAACTCCTCCGAAACGGCTTGACCGATTCTCATGAAATTTTGTGTGCATTATGCATGCATGCAATGGGTATGTCAGAGAATCGGACAACATCTATTTTTCATCAAACTAAATGTTAGTCCACCATGATATACATGGCAAAACGAAGTTTGCCGGATCAGCTAGTATTCTAACAAATAAAACCTTTTTGATTTTGATTTTTTGTTTTTAATCAGAAGATGAATAAGAACTATTTAAAGATAGAATCTGATTTAAATATATTTTCTGTGACTATTTTCGCTAACTTTTGTCACGCAACGTAATTTGAACTCAATAAAAATCGTAAATTATTAAAAAATTCTAATTATTGTCCCGCTTTCGACAAATGAATCCCATTTTTTTCACTTAAACTTGAAACAATAAAAATCTGGCAACGGTGGGTAAGGTCGTTCTATGCCTGATCATGTCAAATTCAATCACGCTATGTATCACAGACAGATAGATATAAGAAGTTCAGATAAGAGTCGCTGGATCCACCCTTTTAATTGACCAAAATGAAGCCTGAAGCCACTGAACTCCTTAAGCCAATTGAAAATGTCTATAAAGGATTGTCCTGCACATGTCGACATTCCTACACGAAATGTCGACCCGTCATAATACGCCCAGCTGTTCTAGCACCTTGCAGTCCGCTTTTTGCTCCGTCAGCTGTCTAAGAATCGGTGCAATGACCTATTAAAAAACATTTCGGCAATATGTTCGTGTTTTAATGTAAAAAAATCTCTAAGAAATAAAAGTTTTCTATCAAAAAATCGATTTTTTATTATTTATTTTCAATACAATAGTATTTACAATATTCTTAATCTACATAGACTAATAGACTTTTGGGCCGTAGGGTTCAAGTGTACAGGCACTAATTGAAGATTCAAGTTGGCGCCTGGAAGATAGTACCGGTGACCGCAGAGCAGCCTTGCGATTCTGTAACTCACTTTTCGATATTTGATAAGGAGGTAGCTTGTAGTTTATTGTTTATCCGAATGCCAAATCGTAAAATGACTTCACGACTGATTTGAGCGCGACCGCCGCTGCGAAAACCGCTGTGTGAGTTCGAAAAGTGAGTTACAGAATCGCAAGGCTGGTGCTTTCTCAAACGAATAAGTATCGCAATACAGCGAGGAAACTCTTTGAATTTGTTTTAAAATTCTTTTTATTAATTTTATTATTACTATGTTGGTTAAGCAAGTTATAAATACTGTATATTTGATTGTTATGATGTCCAATAATTATATGCCGAATGTATTTGTAATACTTAAGTAAAACACCACAAAGTAATGCTTTCATTAAAATAATTGTTTTAATAACTTCGCCATTTGACAATT